TTTCATCATTCTGCTTCATTATATCTCTATTCTCCCACTCTGCAGAATTTACTGGGAAAACAATAATTTCAGAATATTAATCCTAAAATAAAAGATTCCAAACATCATTCGTAAACAAACAAACAAACAGGAGAAAATTTCAGATTTTTATAACTGGTTAGATCTTAACCTAGAGTGGATGAACATTACGTTCATTTTTAGATTCAATTAATTTACCTAAATGAGGATCAAAACAAAGGTCTCATTCATGAAGTAACTGAAGTAGAAATTTAAAAAAAACATCCGTGTCTAGAGCTAAAAAAAAAAAACTACTAAGAAACTCTGTAGTTTCCATCCTTTTTTTATTCATTTAGTTTTTATTGTTAAAGAAAACCCAAAGAGCACTATTTGTTTTTCTTATTTTTACCAAAGTGTGAACATTGGAGCCTTAATGATGGAGTGAAGCAGACAGTTTACTCAGATCCGTTCTTCTAGATAGCAGCTGAGCTGCGCTACTGAACTCATCAGAACCATGGTGTCTTTCTAAACTAACACTGCCCCCTGGTGGACGAACCGCTCACAGTCATTCAGGCCTTTAGAGATCCATTTCCTGATCTGATATCATATTGATTATGGCTCAAATCTGTGTCATTGCACAACATCTACCTGACTGGATGATCTGGTTGATCTGGATCTATAAGCTGACCTAAGATGATGGGATGGGAATTGGAGCATAGAAACAACGAGAATAGAATTATGGAGGCAACCGCTGACTCCTCAAAGAGAAGGTAGAGATGTCTTTTTGCCAGATGTGTTGGCCGCACAAAGCCATCTGATTGGTGGAGCTCTGTGTGGTGGGAGGAGCCTGAGGAGAAGAGCTCAGGTAGCAGGGTGGTGAAGATATTTAGGTCCATTTCAGGACCAAAGGGATAACATCTGATGTTTACTGATGGTTGATTGGAAAACAGCAGAAAAATAAAGATTTCTGAGAGAAGATTCAGCATTTTGACACATCAAGCATGTTTTGGGTCTTTTAAAAGATTTTAATTTCCGTCCCATTTATGCTGCATGTCTGATTTCCTTTATGACATGAAGATGTTTCTGTTCCAACAAAGGACCGGAGTAACATTTGGTCCTTTACATCATTATCATCATCATTTAGCAGATCCCTGATGGCGGTTCTGGGCATAGAACTAAACAAACATGGCCGCCAGTCCCAGCGGTGCAGGTCATGCTGTCTTCACTCCTTCTGGCTTTTTTCTGTCTCCTTGAACCCCAGTGGGCCTCAGCAGATGGCCGCTCACACTGAGCCTGGTTCT